TAATATATTTTCATTTAATTTTCATATGCATAAATATGTCAGTTCTGATGTAATGTGTATACATGCCAGTTTTTTCATACAATGACAAGTCTGGATCTGGGTGATATGACTTTCACTTCATGAAAAAAATTGGCTGAGAGCTGGGTGATGGGAATATACTGTCATGAAAAAAAAAAGACTGAGGGCTGGGGTGTTAGGAATGTGCCATTATGAAAAACTCAGCTAAGAACCAGACTTGTCATGTGTACACAAAGCTCTTGGAAAATTAGACTCAGTGGACATTTAGGAAGGGCCTCTTGCATTATTTCCACCAGTACCGTAAACAAGGGTGAATTGTACCATCCATGAGCCATGCCTAGAAGAGGGCCAACTCCAGGGTCACTATTTAAAAACTCATGATCCTATTCCTGCCAACCAGTTTTACAGAAAATTGAATATGAAAATATAAAGAGAGAGACCTTGGCAAATGGCAAAACCACAAAAAATGCTGATGCAGAAAGAGTTGATAACACAGCAAAGAGGAGGCAAAGAGTCTTGATATAATGCACCTGAGTGTTTGTGAGCAGACGATGGAGTGGGGAGGTGAGAGGGACTGGGAGGCATTTAGGAAGTGGGGGTGAAGTTGACATGGTAATTAGATACACATTTAAAAAGGTCATCTATTCATTTCTCCATATCATACCATATAGGTCTACATATGTATACCTAAAAATTATAAAATAGTCAATTACACCTAACAATGATGCTTTGGCATGACTCTGACAGGGGGAATGATGTTATGACAACACTTGCATCATCAATAGCACCAAAACCAATGTTCCTATGCTTCTATTGCTTCCTATACTTACCAGGTTTACACTAGTAAACCTTACAGCTTTTGGTTTCTAGCCTGAACTTTTTTTTCAGTTTTAACGGAGAAGACCTCATCAATTTAAGTAAGGAAGGGGTTAAGAGGAGGAGGATTGACAAGAGTACATCGGATAATTTCATGCTCTACCCTAAAGTTCCAAAGATTATTCCAATTTTCAGTTACATTAAATAAATTGAATCATTCTCACTAGATCTCAGAATAGCGTAGAAAGTTGAGTAATACCAACACAAACTACTTCAAGATGAGTAGCAGTCCCTCATGGTCTTATACTAGTGTTAGTATGAGCACGTCTGAAATACAATACAGAAAGGCTTGTGAACACACAATCTAATAGGGCTAAAAACGGAAATACATCTTTCTTCATGAATATCTATAATCACTATGATAAATAATATTCCAATGAGGTTAGCAATCTGAATTTTCATAACGAAAAGGAGAAATAGTTCCAGACTTACATAGGGGAAGTTGAAGATGCGTCATTATATAGAAGGACCTGAAATTCAAAGGACAAGTCACGGAGATATCAAACAATGCAAACATGCAAACACTGAGCATGCTGAATATATCACATTTGCATTTTGAATTTTAATTTGGTTTTCAGCACTGGAGGAAGATGTAATATCACCAGAATATTCATTTTTTTTAAACAAAAATAGTAGAATTATACACATCAAAATTTCTTAAAGATAAAAAATGACAAATTTTTAAAATAGAACCTTATAGACACAAGTATAATGTGTTTGTATATTTGCATATTTGATAAGGTTTGTCTATCTATTTTCTTCCATTTTTTTCCTTGTATATTGGTTTCACTGAAGTAAAACAAATTATATGGGTTTCACTGAAGTGAAAAAAAAATGTATAGGTTTCACTGGAGTGAACAGATGATCAAATTTACACTGTTATCTAAAACTGTTGGCATGTGCAAATTTCCCTAGGTCAGTAGCACATTTCCACCATACTGACATCATATGAGCATCATGTTATGAATCACGAAGGAGACACCAGAATCCTCTATCATGTGAGAAGACTCAAATAAACATTGTAGTAACTCATTAACCCTGTGCCTTTGGGCATGGCATGGCATACATGCAGTCCCTCTCTTGTATGTACATGCCATGCCCACTGTGAGTTTACTTTATTAATTGTTTTTACACACAGAAGGCTACACTTGTGTTAAGTCACCAATCAGCCAACGAGTACTGCCTGTCTCACTTGCTTACCCTTTTCCTTGATTTTCGAAAATATTTTACGTTAACTTATATTGCTGCTGTTACTAATGTCTAAAAAAAAGAGCACAGTATTTTCTGCAGCAATGAGTTAAGATTAGTAGCAACAACAACAATACTTATCATGCTAATTTAAAAGGTTAGAAACCAAAGTTTCAACTCAGAACACCATTCCATAAAAATTGTCAACCTTACTAACCCACATATTTTCCTTCAAAAAGTCTGTCAACTTCTATACCCTTTCAATAAAATGAAAGATTACCAGCAAAACGAAACTCAAATCATCATAACACAACAAACAAAACAAATGAGAAACTATAGAATAAATGCAAGAAAAGAGAGGAAATTAAAAAGATAACAGATAGTAAAAGATACACTGAACAGAAGGTACAATACCTCCAAAGAGTATGGAAAAAAACTTCATTGTTTACCATCTTCAAAGAAAGTATGCAGTGCAGAAGCGTTTTCATTCTAATTTTGTGCAACTCATGGATTTTTTGTCTTTAACTTTAACTTGAAATTGAATACCTTAGTTTGTTCTATATTAGTGATTGCAAGTCTAATTTTCCTTCATCCAGCAGAGTAATGAAAAAAGTGAGAGTGAGAAAGGACTAAGGAAAAAAAAAAAAAAAAAAAAAAAAAAAAAATTTCTGGGTCATCTAAATCAAATGAAATTGTTAATAAAAAAATAAGAAGAACAAATGCCACTTTTGAAATGCATTGCATAACTTTGCCATTCCAAGCACAACTGTCACTATCTTGCCATCAAATTCATATCACCAATTAATCAAGATAAACAGATGTCAGGAAAAATAAACATATAAAAATTTACCACTTTAATAACAAGAAAAATAGATACAAGGTTTACACCATTTTATGTATCAAATTGCATTATAAAATCTTGTTTCTTTATAAAATGTAGAAAGGGGAAATATCAAATGATAAAAAAAAAAGACTAAAAATAATAAATAGATTAAAAAATGCATGATAAACCTTGAACATACTTTACATTCTTATGAAAAATCTGTACACACATACATACTCATACATACGGCACATGTGTGAGCTGTATCCAATCTTTCAGTCCCTCTCTTTGTCCCTTTTCTTTTTCTCCTTTTTCTTTTTCTTTTCCTTCTTCTTCTTCTTCTTATCTTTCCGTCTCTCATCCTCCTCTGAGTCGCTGTCCGAGGAACTCTCCGAAGAGGAACTTTCTGACGAGGAATGCTTGCTTTTCCTCTTTTTTTTCTTCTTATCCCTTTCCGTGGACCTTGATCGGCTGGGGCTATCTGTACGCAACTTCTTCTTCTTCTTCTTTTCCTTCTTGTGCTTCTTTCTCTCTCTCCTGAGGTGTTTCTCTTCCTTCATCTAAAAGTAAGAAGATTTTTCTTTTATAAAGTAGTGTTAACAGCTACAAAATGAAAAAAAGTAAAAAAAAGAAGGTGAGGGAATGGGAGAAGAATCTAACCAATCTTAACTCACACGTACCATGCCTGATTTGAATACACTAACACCTGATACAATTCTCCCCTCTTCTGACATTGGCCCTACTAGATGACCTTCACTAATCCACTCACGCTCAGGAATCACTTATCCTGAAGATATCATTCCGAAAATGACAGCCTTCTGATGATAAAAATTACATCCTTTACCTAATGTCTCAAGAGGTACAATCCTTGAACTCTCACAATGTGACCCTCACTGAACTGGACCTCACTACAATATCCTGCTACTAATCATAGGTGTACTATCCCATTACCATGTTGAATGAATTATCAAAAAGCAGCTGAGGGAGAATATGGACAGAGTGAGAAAGACCCAAAGAGAGGGAATACCAGTCTTATCTTAAGTTTCAGCATCTACCTACTTATCAGTTTTCCTGTATTTTTTCTGCTGTCATTGGAAGGTAGGGAGTGAGTGAGTAATTCTGCTTCTATATGGTACATTCCTTCTAGTGACACTCTCCCTAACCCCCACCCATCCCCACTACTCATACTACATATCATTCCTCCAAGTGCCCAGCTTTATCATCCAAGGGATTGATTTATGTCTACCCTAAGAGCTCATACAAAAATGTTATGTTCCTGTACATGGTGATACCTAGAGAGTATAGGTAAGAGGAAAACTGAATCAATTGCTAACACTCAGGATTATAAACAATGTTTAAACAATGAGTGTGTTCTTATTTTTCATTATATCAGATAAAGATCAAATCATAAAGACAAAGAATAACTGCCTCAATATATTCTTTATTCTTCAGTTTTGGTGTCACTTTCATACTCTTAAGCTAACTTGCTTGATGATGAGGAGGGAGGGAGGGAGGGAAAGTCAAAAATGGTTATCAAATAGTAAAAAAATAATATTGCTTACCCATAGTGCAATTCATATTTACACAAAAGGACTGACCTTTGCCAGCAGCTCCTGTGCATTAAGTTGTGTAAGAGGTGTCTCATCATCACTGAATTCAGATGACGTTGATGAGACATCCAGGACCACATCTTTCTTTGGATCCACCTGTTGGGCAAAGCAAGAAATGCTATTACAAATGATAATTACACATACACAAAAATTAATAAATATACCAATATTATTGCATATTACATGCAGATAACATTTGCAACCTCACATGTGAGTGTGCGTGAGTGTGTGTGCACGCACACACACACACACACACACACTCTCTCTCTCTCTCTCTCTTATACCTATATATCAATATACACATAATAGAATAACATTACTACAAACAGTAAACACTGGGCTAACCTACTCACCTTCACAAAATTCCTGCACTGGTAGGTAAGGTGGCCAGGATAACCACACTTTTTGCATGCTGCTCTCACATCTCCTCCTCCTGTGGGGCCAATTCTGGCCAGTGGGCGATCCTCCATTTCTTTTTTTATCTT